ATACCTGGTGGTCTTTAGCAAATACATTCTTCCACAGTCCCTAACAACACTTAAAACAGTGTTGAACACACGTCATGAACTCAGGAAATATGATTGTGAATGAGTGGCAATTTAAATACCCAGGTGGATGAGGATGAAATTTAAAAAATTCGATTCCAGATGTGAACAGATTACCCCATTATACCCAAACAAATATACACCTTCACCTTCTATAGTTTCTTCTCTTTACTCTCTCATTCTATTTTCAACATCAGAATCTATGAATTTATCATGTGGAACTAAACTTGTTAAGGTCTTTGCATCTATGTTTCTCTTAGCAGAGGTGGGGAATGTCTGGCCTGCCAGATCATTTGGTCTGGCCCTGCCAAGGCATTAGGGGAGTTAAATGTTTGACCAAATACTAGTATAGCAGGCTGATGTTTACGTTGATAATTTTGTATGGCCTGCAAATGATGTTATAAATACCCAAATGGCCCTTGGCAGAAAAAGGTTCCCCACCCCTGCTCTATTGGCATGTTTTTTTCCCTGTCCTCATCAAGTGGGCTGCCCACATCCTTCTTTGGGCCATGATGTGTTCTCTAGCCAGCAACTGGCTAGTGTCTGATAGATTCAGTTAATGGGCTGGTGATCCACATGAGCACATTGAGATATGCAGCCAGGTTATGACTATATAAGCAGTTATTTTAAAGCTGTGTGTCACACTGGGGAATATCTGTGGCCAAACCAAAATGCGGACTCTCAGACTTGAGCTTTATGTGTATTTATCCTCATTCCATGACACCATCATATCAGTTAATTTATGTGGTGGGAGAAGCAAAATCAACCCTGCCTCCAAATGTGTAAGATGTTCAAGTATATTAGCCAAGTTACTCAAGTTTTCTAGATGACTGAGAACAATTTGTGAATAATTTTATTTCACTTTAAAAATAAAACTCAAATGTTGAGTTGTATTATTTTCCTTGATGAAAGATTGCCACACTTTGTTTTTTGTTTGTAAGAGTGAGTATATTAACTTTTCCCCCAATAGAACACAATAAATAAAAATTAATGAGGGAACTAGTATTTACTTATGGCAATGTGAGCTAAAACGCTTCTATTTTTAAAAGGGTGACTTTTAAGTTTTTTAAAGAACTAAACATTTACTCTTATGGAGAAAATGTCGTCCTGGCTAGTGTGGCTTGGTTGAGCATTGTCCTGTGCCCCAGGAGGTTGTTGGTTTGATTCGTGTTCGAGGGCTTGTTCCCTGGCAGGGGGTGTGCAGGAGGTAGCTGGTTGCTGTTCTCTCTCCTTTCCTCTTTTCTAAAAATCAAACTATTAAAAAAGAGAGAAAATGCAATTACATAGGTTTTCAATTATAAAATAACATTGTAGGCCTCCAGCATACTAGTATACTGGGACCCTCTGAAATTCCAAAAGCTAAAACTATTTTAATCAGGTCATTTTACACAATCTTCTCTAGCTCCGTTGTAGCTGTTTTCTGCTTATTCAACATGAGGCAAAATTTCAGTGGATAGAATTTCAGATTTTTAACTGCAGATTCTAGTAGTTGTCATGATTTTTTTTTTAAAGGGGAAGTAGCCTCTGTGGCACTGGGATGGATGCTCCAAATAGACTGTGACTCCTGGCAGCGATTCCAAGTCTATTCTAGGTGTGGACGCCAGTGTTAACATGAGGCTGGTGCCCACATCCCAGGAGCTCTCCATTGCAGGTAGTAGTTAATAGTTTGAGATTTCAGGCCCCGTGGGCAAATACTAATTCATTTTGTTTAGCACTTTGATGCTTATTATTCAGAGACCCGCAATCATCTCTGATGAGACAAATTGCTTATAACTTGTAAAAGAAATACCTTCTCTGGGTTTGGTTTAGGACAGTTCCTTTTTTTCTTTCATCCCAACCCACCCTTTTCCCCTAGCCAAAAAAGGCATTTTTCCCTGAAGAAATGCAGCTGTCAGAGCAACTTGGAAGGGCTGAGTTGAACACCATGGACAGCGATGTGGATTCCTTGGCTTTCTCTCTGGCCATCCTCAACCCAGAGACTAGTGTGCTGCAGTGGGAGTGGCATGTTCATTCAGAGCACCTTGCAATCTGTGACCCCTCAAACGTGGGTCGAACTTTACTCTCCTAATATTCTTTTTCTGTCTCCCAGTACACATTCACTAAGTTGATTTTTACACAGCTGTGATGTAATACCCATATTTTCTTTTATTCTTTTTTTTTTTAAATATATTTTATTGATTTTTTACAGAGAGGAAGGGAGAGAGATAGAGAGTTAGAAACATCAATGAGAGAGAAACATCGATCAGCTGCCTCCTGCACATCTCCTACTGGGGATGTGCCCACAACCCAGGTACATGCCCTTGACCGGAATCGAACCCGGGACCTTTCAGTCCGCAGGCCGACACTCTATCCACTGAGCCAAACCGGTTTCGGCTTTTCTTTTATTCTTTATGATCAGAATCTGCCAGCCCTAGAACTGAGCAACACTTCTTCTTGTGCCTACCTGGGACTTCTTGCTGAGGTCCCTCTGCTATCAGGAGGGCTTTGTGTCCTGAATGGTGTACCAGTTTGTGGCAATGTTTTTCTATTATGGGCAGTAAGAAAATGGAACAGCTCAGCTGATCTAGGCTGTCTTTTCTTTTCTTTTAAAATACATTTTATTGGTTTTTTACAGAGAGGAAGGGAGAGGGATAGAGAGTTAGGAACATCGATGAGAGAGAAACATCGATCAGCTGCCTCCTGCACACCTCCTACTGGGGTTGTGCCCGCGACCAAGATACATGCCCTTGACCGGAATCAAACCTGGGACCTTTCAGTCTGCAGGCCGGCGCTCTATCCACTGAGCCAAACCGGTTAGGGCTAGGCTGTCTTTTCTGTAAGTAGCATTTAAATATGTTCGTTGTAGGCAGATCCAAGACCCCTTTCATGCTTTGAAGGCACTGGTTGGTAATGTCAGAGTGCTGTAAGGCAGGTGATGAGAATGTAATCCCCCTCCCCGGGTCACACAGAGAAGCAGTGTGTGTGGGATTGAGCTAGGAGCCTGGACACCTTGGATCTCTTCCTGGTTCAGTCACTATGTGCCCCTAGTTGAAACCATCTCACCCTTTCTGAACCTTGTTATTTTCTGATCTGTAAAAGGGGTCAGGAGTGTTAGAGGAGCAACTGTGGTGTCTGTGCCCTCTGGCAGACGTCGTTTTTCTGAACCTTGGACCCAGCTTTGGCATTTTAAGCAGGTTTGTTGGCATGAGACTGACTAGCAGCAGCAGGGAGAGAGGATCATGTCTGTCTCACTTGGCTTCTTCCCTGAGGACTCACAATCTGTTTTCTTTCCCCTGTAGCACCCAGTACCCTACCACTGCCCAACCAACGAGGGTTAACAGAATACTAGGCTTCTGACCCATCCATTACTTACTTACCCTTGGCCCCTGATGAAGATTTTTCTGCTGAAAAGGCCAGGAAGCCCGGGACCCCTGCCTCAGGGAGGCAAGTGGCCTCACAAACAGAATGATTAATGGGAGACTGAGTCCCTCTTAGACAGTAACTACATAACCTGGTTGGAAATTTGATTAGCATCTTCCAGATTTTACACATTGAGCAGCTGCTCAATCACCAGCATGAGAGCCTGATTTTGTGTTTATTATACAGTGACTTTGCTTTTTTAAACTATCAGGATTCTGCCAGGGAAAGACTTGGAAGTGGCAAGACACTGTGCTCTGCTACAGGACAGGATGTTCTAATAATGTAAAAGTTCCACACATTTCCATCTAACACCCACACCCGAGAATCTTATGTGACTACTTCCTTGTTCTCCCTCATAATACAATTGCACCTATCTCCATGTACCCCTGTATCAGATGTGGGCCCCCAAAGAGGGGTGTAACCTTGGGTGAGGTAGCTCCCTTCAGACAAGGGCAGTTTCTGGGGAGGGACTTGTGATCTCTCAGCATCAGCACTCTGAGTGCCTCAGTCCTGAAGGGGCAATCTGGGTGGCATACCACAGCACCCACCTCCGCAGTGAACCCAAACCAGCTGCAGCAGCATCACCTGGGAAATGTATCAACTTTAATGGCCTAAAATCAACTCAGTTTCCTTCAGTAGGTGAACAAACCATGGTATATCTACCTGTACCAAGGAAAGGACTGTTGATATATCCAACAACATGGGCAGTGTGGCTTAGATGGTTGGAGTGTTGTCCCGTATAGTGAAAAGGTCCTGGGTTCGATTCCCTGTCAGGGCTTGTGCAGGAGGCAACCAATCAATGTTACTCTCTATAAAATCAATGAAAGCCTGTCCTCGGTGAGGATTTTTAAAAAAAAAGTACACTTAGTGAAAATCAGAATTCCCCTCATCCCCCAAGAACACTACTCTATGTTCTATGATTTCATTATATAAAAATGTAGAAAATGCAAATTGTAGTGACAGAAAACAGATCAGTGGTTGCTAGGGAATGGGCTAGAAGATGAGGGAGGGATGAATTATAAAGGAGCATGAGGAAATTTGGGGGGGTGATGGATATATTTCCAGGTCATGTTGTCTCGAGTGTATGCATATGTTAAAGCTCACCAAATTGTACACTTACTGATCAAGTTGTACACCAGTTATGACTCAAGAGCTGTAAGAATTTAAGTGTGATCATTACTTGGGGAAAGGCAGAGGGACAGGTACTCATAGTCACATAAATGAATAAATAAGGGCCAACATGGAATTCCAGGGGGAATTCTTTTTAAAAAAATATATTTTATTGATTTTTTTACAGAGAGGAAGGGAGAGGGATAGAGAGTTAGAAACATTGATGAGAGAGAAACATCGATCAGCTGCCTCCTGCACACTCCCTACTGGGGATATGCCCGCAACCAAGGTACATGCCCTTGACCGGAATCGAACCCGGGACCCTTCAGTCCAAAGGCTGACGCTCTATCCACTGAGCCAAACCGGCCAGGGCTAGGGGGAATTCTTTTAAACTTTCTGATTGGCCACATGCTTGCCTCCTTGTGTTTCTGCAGATCTAATTTATATCCACTGTGATCAGCTCTCTCATAACTTGCCAGATCCAGACCCAGGATTCCGAGTAACCAGACCCCGCCCAAGTGAGTAGCCCAGCACTACCTCTGTCTGTAGAACGAGGGATATTCTTGTCCAACTGAAATAACTTCAGGCATTTCTACAATACCCTGGGGGGAGGTCAGCACCCTTCCCAGTGGACACAGACTGTAAAGCAGGGGTCCTCAAACTTTTAAAACAGGGGGCCAGTTCAGTGTCCCTCAGACCGTTGGAGGGCCGGACTATAGTTTAAAAAAAAACTATGAACAAATTCCTATGCACACAGCGGCGGCAAAAACACCCGGCGGGCCGGATAAATGTTTTCTGCGGGCCGCAGTTTGAGGACCCCTGCTAAAGCAATGTGCATTTGAAATGAGAGGAACTGATGTCTAAAATCCCAGGAAACCAAGAGTGTCGTTTTCTGTTGTTACTAATATATAGAACTTATGTAATATTGAATGTCTTATAGTAAGTAAACAGTGTGCTAATGAGGATATATTTACATATATCTTTAAATACTAAATTCATTTTAATCCAACACATCTGAAGCCAGTGAGATTCACCTTTTAGCTTAGAATTGGCTGAGGAAGGTGAAGCTATTTAACCAAACCCAGGGGCTCAGGTCAGCTAAAATGCTTATTAGCTTAGACAAATGATTTTTTAGACCATGGTTTTCAAATTACCTGGGATTATTTCCATAGAAATACCATAGCACAAATTGCAAAGTATTCAGATGTCATAAGTATGAAAGGAGGAACTGTTTTTAAATAGTAAAGGGCAAAAGTGACCATATGTATTGGATTTTCTGTAACTGATCCAATTCAGTATCTTTTTAGTCCACAAAGGCAGTTCATTGAATATATTACCTAATGTGGTATCATAAGATCTCTATGTCTAGAATTAGACATGAAGATAGGCAACAGTATATGAAAGAACATTGCTATAGGAGGGGTCAGAATTTCTGATTTCTTCCTAATTACCAAGAAACTCTCTTCAATAAAAGCAAGACCCTGCAAGATTACTGGTTCAGGAATCAGCTGGGCATGTTTCTGTCTTTCACTTTCCTAAAATAGGATATTTCCATTTAATGCCCTTTTTAACACATTGTTTGCAGGTAGTTTTTATCGAGCGCTAACAGGTGGCACAGGCCATTTTTGCTAATTTTTTGCGCAAATGGCAACGTTCAGTAAAATTACGATAACTTTAGTTTACGTATTTATACGTTACCCGCATTCTACCGCTAGTCTATAAAAAACGTATCCCGCATCTATAAAATACGTGTCCCGCGCTCTACTACCAGTCAACGTAAAATGTATAAATACGTTTCCCGCATACAATGTGTTAAAAAACAATCGCCAGAGTGCTGAGTTTTACATAAATTTTACATATTGGTATCTTAGGCTACTTTTTCTAACTGATAATCCATAGATGATTTGCGTCCTCAAAAGAACATACTCTATTAGAGAAAATAACCATTTCTAATCCTTTTACTTTCCCATTCCTCAAGTATGCAGAAGGCTGTGATGAGTCAATACCATATAAAATACTGACAAGTACCTGTATTTTGCAGGAAGGAGACTATAATTTCGGATTCCCTGGTGGAGGAAAACAAAACGCTCTGGTCTTGCTTCCAATGATGCAAGTGTGATTGTCAGTGTCTTCATGAGCTCCAGAGGTCACAGCACACTACCACGGACTCTCATGGCCCCTCGGATGATTGCTGAGGGGGACATAGGAGGCATCGCTCAAATCACCTCCTCTCTCTTCCTGGGCAGAGGCAGTGTGGCCTCCAACCGGCATCTCCTCCAGGCTCGTGGCATCACTTGCATTGTTAATGCTACGATTGAGATACCCAATTTCAACTGGCCCCAATTTGAATATGTTAAAGTGCCTCTGGCTGACATGCCTCATGCCCCCATTGGACTATACTTTGACACCGTGGCTGACAAGATCCATAGTGTGAGCAGGAAGCATGGGGCCACTTTGGTGCACTGTGCAGCAGGGGTGAGCCGCTCAGCCACTCTCTGCATTGCTTACCTGATGAAATTCCACAGTGTGTGCCTGCTGGATGCATACAACTGGGTGAAAGCCCGGAGGCCTGTGATCAGGCCCAATGTAGGCTTCTGGAGGCAGCTGATAGACTACGAGCGCCAACTTTTTGGGAAGTCAACAGTTAAAATGGTACAGACACCTTATGGCATAGTTCCAGACGTTTATGAGAAAGAGTCCCGACACCTGATGCCTTACTGGGGGATTTAATGCCACCAAAGCCTGCATCAGCAGCCCCTCAAGCAGTACCAGCATCAGCTACACAGTGTCTACTCCCCTCTTCACCTTTCTTTTCAAATGGTTGATTTTTTGGTTCTCCCTGAAGTGTTCAAGTTTATTTTAAGAGGTAGGGAGGAGGGGAGGAACATAAGGGGAATGCATACATTGCTAATAACATTTTTAAAACTAACATTTTGGAATAGTGTTTATGAAAATCTTTAACTAGCTTTTAATCATTTTTAATAATTTGAACAGTTTAATAAACTGGTTCTGCTCTATCTTGAATCCCATGCCTTTTGGCATCATGACAGGTGCAAGAGAAGCTCAGTGCAAAAATCACTTTGAGTCCTGTTTAGCTAATCCTGTAGAGACAAGCTTTGCCTAAGGCTGCTGACCACACAAGTGCTTAGGGAAGATTGATACCGGCTTCAGTCTCTACTGGATTAGCCCTCCTCTTTCCTTCCCTCTTTATTATTTAGTAACTTTGTAAGGTAAAAAGAAAACACCTTTATTATTTAGCTGTTAAGTAATTATAACAAAATCTGCAAACACCCTCTTGGAATCAATGTGTCCCAGACTATATTATTTTTAATAAACCTGTCTGCTTAACATATTAGAATATTTACTAAGAACAATTTTAGGGTGTGTGTGTGTTGAATGGAAGAAAGATGCTCTCCAATTATGTTATCATATGGCTTCTGTGACAATAATGAACATTACTGAAAATAGACATCCAGCTGAATCATGTCAATATTTCACATCCCGGCAGATATCATTTACAGTGCTGGAACTGAAAAATAGCATAGCTAAGTGTACACTCTGACAAAAGGCAATTTTCAGTTGTCTCTTGGTAACTTTAAGTGCACCAAAGCAGCGAATTCTCCATCAAACAATTTGGTTTTTCACAAAAGGTGTGCCTTTGCTTGACTATTAACAAATGCCCTAAACCAAAACTTAATACAAGTGTTAAGCAAATAACAGCTTCCTCAACTGGCCCTAATAAATCGGACAACTCATCAGAGAGTGATAGGTTAAGTAGTAATTATTCCATGTTCCTGGGAAGCCACTGGGCATTACCAGGTTGCCTTATTTTTAGATAGGGGAGCCACTAGTCACAGCACTGCTCTTTTTTCACTCATTTGCTAGATAGGCTGTAGCTAGCTTATCTGTGGAATAATTTTCTAGAGTTTTGGTCTATTTTGGTAAGAAGCCATGAATATAATGCCAGTGGCTGCATATTTATATAAATGGTATCTTCCATATTTTACCTGGTCTGGGGTTTCCATCTAAATTCTACCTTTTCTTGTTTCATATCACTTGCCCACTCTAACAACCACATACATCATTATTGTCTAAATAGAAATATTCAAAAAAAGCTAATAGTTTCTCTATGGGAAATCAGAGGAACCATAAATGCTACATCAACACATAATCAAAATCAATCAAAAGAACAAAACAATACTATGGCTATGGAGGCCATGGCTGCTTTAGTATGAAGGCAAACTAAGTCTAGTAGTCTCTAGATAAAGGTCCAAAATAATCATACTATAGTAAGAAAATATTTAGTGATATGTTCTTGGTAACTAAGGAAAATTTCCTGCAGAAATCCTGGCAAACACCACCACTGTGATAACTAAGAGCATTCTTAGCCCCAGGCAAGTTTAACATCTTTCTAATCTAAATGTCAGAGTTTATTAGGACCAGCTAATAAAGGGAAGTGTGTAACCTACAAGATGTTAGGGGAATTTTTGTAGTGATCCCCAGTGCAGGGCAAGCAGTTCAAATGTCTGTAACATAAAGACCCTATAATTTTCAAAGCTTAAGAACACGAGTCATTAAAAGGCAAGTAGAAGGTATCTTTAAACAACAAAAAGAACGTATATGTACACAAAGTACTCAATTTAAAATACTCAACCTATGTAGAGTGCCATGGGAAAAATAAAGAATGGATAATATCCTAATATACCCACTTCTACCTTAAGCATATCGAGACAAAAATTACACTTTGCCATAAATTTTTTAAAGGCAAAATACAATAAAAAAGCTTATTTCACCTCTCAAGCAGTGGGGTGAAGCTGTCGGCACAATACACAGTATGGAAATAAGTAACCTTGGTTACTGTTTCCAGGGACACTGGGCTCTTGGCTAACGAGCTGAAGTGAAGCTGAATGCAATGTTGAGTCATTTCAATAAATGCATAAATCAACACAATGGTATTCCACACTCCCCAAATCCTTGGTGGTATCTAATAAAACATTTCTATTAAACAGATATGAAAGTAATGAATACTTTTCATAGCAAAGGCTTTTTGTTGGTGTTTTGCTGTATTTTCCTCCAGCATTTCCCATGGAGTGACTAAACCTACCATACTTAGTAAGGTCAGTAGTAATTATACATAGAATTTTATCTGAGGCATTCTGGAAGATATCTGGGAATGGGAACCAATCTAGTTAGCATACTTTAAAAAATGTTACTGATATAGGCCATTGTGAAAATAATAATCCATATAGCATTTTCAAAAAAAAGTCTCAGCAATGTAAATTCTGTCAAACTGGGTGATATTCTTATAGCAAAGGTAGATTTTGTTATGGAATGTACAAAACCAATCAGAAGCCTGCTTGAATTTGGGTGCTATCTGAAACCCTAGGGGCTGCTTAGGCTGAATTGGAGCACAGAAGCCTCAGGAAAAGCCTGCTACAAACCGGTCCGCGTGTGTCGTTACTGGCACTCCACTAGTCCCGTGGAGGGCAAAGACTCCGGAGGTTGTAACAATTCAGAGACAGCTGTCTCAGTCCTTAGCTGGAGATAGCATCAACTTCAGCAAATGAGAAAAACAGACTTACCTCATCAACACTTCTCTGCATTCTGGTGCACAGCAAGGTAAAAGCAGAAGCCTCGTCGACTGCTGTTCATGGAAATGTTCTATACCTTTTCTGGAGAGGATGGAGGTAAAGATGTAAGATGAAACAAAACAATTCCTCAAGTTCTGCCCTGAGAAGGGAAAGTAATCTAGTTAATTATGTAAAGCAGCAATTATATTGGCAAAACCAAATTTTTCAGTTACAAATAAAAACTAAGTCTAGGTCAGACAGCATAAGTCAGACAAAGTGAAACATAAAAGATTCAAAATCTCTTCATAAAGCACATAACACCTCAGAAATGTGTCCTAGATTGACATGTTCTTCCTAGGAATGACAGTCCTAACCACTTGGCTTTCCCCCGACTTGATGCATTAGTTTCAGTGGCAAAGGCAATCCCTACAATAACGTGAGCTTTTTCCTTCTAAAATTCAGTGCTGTTTTTGAATAATTTCCTTCCACTACTACTAAGTTCCATTACCTTTACCATAAATGCACATCACATTTGCCTCTCAAGGCCAGGAATTCCACCTTCTAACCCTAAATTTTCAGGTCTCACGTAGATCCTGCAAAGTCAGGCAGTACTGGTACATAGGCAGTCATTTTTTGAAATCTGGACAGAGACCACTGCAAAAAGATTTCATTCAGCTGCCTTTCCAAATCTTGTCTGAAAAAAATACCACGTTCACAGTCATGAGGTAAAACAGGTTTTCAGCGAAGGCCCCTAACAGGAAGGATAATCTGATACTCAAGGTTTTGGGCCTCTGTCAAAATGAACATTCTCCACTGCAAAGTACCCAGGCATGTTTGAGAAAAAGTCTTCTTGAAAGTTGATAGTTTTAGAAATGAATGCAAGGAGAAGAGAATTGGTTAATTGGTTCAGTTGCATCAGCAAAGTTGGTAAATCTGCCCTTACCTACCTGCCCTTGTTCAATGGAGACAGACAGAATTTTTTCTAGAAAAAGAACATCAGTTTAATCACAATTTCCCCTCTTTATTCATTTCAAATAACACACTAAATGCAGATAAATGCACTCAACTTCACAGGACAATAAGTGTCCTAGATATAAATAAGCTCTGGCTCAACACATTCTTGCCAATTCCAGTCCTACAACAATTTTTCTTCAAGTGACAATTCTTCACAGTTTCAATACTGCAGCAGCAAATTATTGTGGTCCATATTTGAAAACATCTTAAAAGAACTAGTGGTAAGTTAGCAACTTCTGGTGCCACATGCAGTTTGGGTAGGGCAATTTCACCACAAATCCCAAAGACGCAGTGGGAACCAGGGGACAGAGGTCCTCTGTGGGAATGACTAGGAACTTCCGAAGCTTTTCCCCGCCCACCTCTTGGGGAATTCTTCATATAAATTCATAGAGGTGAACTTTGCAGTACTTGCATTCTGTCCATTGGTCCCTGTCACCCATGGGTGTGATGAAAAACAACAAAAACAACCCAGTTGGTACTTCATAGAGGAGCTTTTCAGAGCAAATCAGGCAGGATGAGGCCAGGAGGTTTTGGTTCAACACAATTGATCCAGAAGTTGGCACAGCTGGCATGATACTGGTGTCCACCATATGCCAGCTTGAAATTATCTGTGTCTGAGTTGAATGCCTGCCGGAAATAAACAGACATGTGGATTAAGTCAGGCTTCTTCTGCTCCTAAGAGCTGAGCAGCAACCAGCATGCACACTTCAAGTCACAGAGGCCAAGGCCAAGCTGGCACGCGTACAAAAGCTGAGCAGGTAGCTACAGAAATTCAGGTGAGAAAGTTTTTGCCGCTAATTAAAGGTATAAAAGTATCTTTACCATTAAACCCAGTTTCAGCAAAAGAAGGCCAAATCTGTCATAGAAAAGGCAGAGTCTAGGGGACTGGGAGGAGGGTGTCATGATATGGGGAACTAACATAGCCAAGGGCTGTGGCTAATTTTTATCCCTCATTGTGCTGAAGGAATAAAGGCTGGCATCTAATCCCTTAACTTTCTGTGGCTAATTACCATCCTATCATGAAAGAAAACAAAAGATTATAAACTCTTAGGGTCTAATGCCATTGGAAGCTGGTAACGGAATCAACATAATTAAAAAGTCCAAATTGGGACTGGGTTCATAAAAAATGAAGATATTAAACACATAAGAATTATTTCTGGATAAGTAAGGCTTACAGCTGAGTTACATCTAGCCAATCCTAACCACACCATGTCCCGGGGTGCTTTTTAAAGCATTACAAATAAATAAAACTCTAAAACCCAAACAATTTGTGTTTTTGTTTTTTTTTGTCCGAAAATGGTCAAATCCTGAAGTTCTTTGATCTCACTATGTGTCACTATAGCTTCCAGTCTTTCAGAAGCTGCTCATTCTGTTACCCTACCCATCACAGAGAAAAATAACCACACCACCAGAAGCCAATCATGAGATACACGCATGCAAACAAGATGGAAGTGGATCTACAGTTAGTTGATTAAATCAAACATTATGGGAACAAAGGTGACTCAGTAAAGATTCATGATTGGAATGGGTCAGGATGGCAGTGGAATCATTTGATTTGCCTTCCACACTGAAAATTAAGATGTAAATGCTAAGATAATGTGTAACTGGTTCATACTTTTTTAGGATGTTCCTCTGCAGGCTTCTCTTCTTTCTGAAATAACGTTGAAACCATAAGGTCAACAAAATTCCCAAAACAGAGCCTCTTGCCTGCAAACAAATCCTTGCGGGTAACCTGTTCTCTTTACTACCCCACTGTGCACAGGGTGCTGCTGGCACAATGCAAAAGCACGCTTCCTAGAAAGGGAAGAACGGCACGCGCTCCATCAACAGTTTCCCCACTGCTTTTCTGAAAATACATCTATTTCTCTGGTCAGATTTCAGGGCTTTCATAAAATCCCAGCCACCTGGGCACGGCCCTTGTAGTGAAGTGGTCTAAATGGAGTTGTCCCCAGGTCATGTTAGGAAAGCACTTTGCCATCTGCAGGGGAAAGCGTGTGACTTACCCGGCTCCTAGAGTCCACGTTTAACAGGCACACCCCACAAGCAAGTTCCTGAGCATTTTTAATACCAGGCCGCAGCATACAAGAGGAAAAATCCAGTGAATTTTCATCAGGCTGTGAAAACAAGACAAATGGGTGAGAACCTGGCAATTCCAAATGCTGTTAGCTTCCCTCCAATGATTACCCATCCCCAATAGGTCCAACAGCAAATTAGGTAAGCTCTCTAATACCACCAATACAATCATTCCATTTCCCAAACATTGACTGAGTACCTGCATGTTCCAGTAGGGATGCTAGCACGAGGAAAAAAACCGGTCCCTGTCCTCTGAACTCAGTGTAGGGTGGGGGCCAGGTGGGTCTCAGGCAACACAGGTGATGAAAGCCCTACTAGGGGTAAGTACGGAGTGACAGGGCACACGGGGCGGGGGACTGACTCCAACCCCAGGGGAAAGCAGCCTGATGGCAGAGATATCTTCCCAGAACTTAGAAACAACTTGGCTGAGTCCTCATGGACATACTATGCTAGGTGAGGGGGATAGAATGGATGAGTAGGGAGGGAAAGATGCTTATTCTATGTAGAACAAGCAGGCCAGGCAAAGGATCTCAGTAAAAGACTGGGTATGGGGGGAAGTCTAGGGGTTGGGAGCCAAGCTTATGAAAGAGGTAAGAGATGGAACTGGAATATGAGGCCTAAAGGAAAATATGGGGTTGAGGCTTTATCTTGGGAAGCCGTTAGGGTTCTAATTGGATCATGACAATTCTGGTTGCAGTGTAGGCAGTGAATTAGGGGAGGCAATCTTCAAAGTATGGGCCTCACAAGGCTGTTGTAGCACTCCAGGACCCAGATATGGAAGGTCTGAACTAAGGTAGCAACAGTGGGGAGTGGAGAGCAATGGGCACATGAAAAACCTAGTAAGGCAGTAGAGTCAACAGGACTGGGTGACCTTTAGTGTGCAAGGAGGGGGGAGGCATAGGCAACTGAGAGATTCACCATAATAAGGTACATGAGAGCAGACCAGGGTTGGGAATGGAGGATGGCAGGAGAAGAGCTCAGTTTGAGCTGCCTGTGGGACAGCCAAGTTCTGACGTTATATAAGCAGGCAGATGGATATACAGTCCTAGTGTTCGAGGGGGAGAGACCTGGAAGTTACCAGCTAGTAAGTAGTCCCCTGCCCTGGCTGGTTTGGCTCAGTGGATAGAGCATCAGCCTGCTGACTGAAGGGTCCAGGGTTTAATTCCAGTCAAGGGCACATGCCCGGGTTGTGGGCTCAATCCCCAGTAGGGGGTGTGCAGAAGGCAGCCAATCAATGATTTTCTCTCATCATTGATGTTTCTATCTCTCTCTTCTTCTCTGAAATCAATAAAAAATATATTTAAATAAATAAATCACAAAGGCTTGAACTAAAATTAAAAATAAGTAGAGCTCTTACTTGTGCTAAGCACCACATTAAGGTCTTTACATGCATCATCTAATTTATTCTTTTTTTTTTAAATATATTTTATTGATTTTTTTACAGAGAGGAAGGGAGAGAGATAGAGAGTTAGAAACATCGATGAGAGAGAAACATCGATCAGCTGCCTCCTGCACACCCCCTACTGGGGATGTGCCCGCAACCAAGGTACATGCCCTCGACCGGAATCGAACCTGGGACCTTTCAGTCCGCAGGCCGACGCTCCATTCACTGAGCCAAACCGGTTAGGGCAGCTGTTAATTTCTTAAAAGTTAAAATATATATCTACTATACGAACTTGCAATTCCACTCTTATTTATCCAAGAGAAATGAAAACCTGTTAACAAAAAGTGTTGCACAAAAAGTGTTCATAGCAGCTCTTTTCATATTAGCCCAAATTGGAATTAGCATGTCTATAAACAATAAAATGGATTAAAAAGAAACACGATATATTAATACAATGGAATATTACTCAGTGGTAAAAAAAAAAGATCAAATTGGCATACAACACAGATAAATTTTTACAATATGCTAAGCAAAAGCAGACAGACACAAGAACATATATACTATGTAAGTTCATTTATATAAAGTTCTAAAACAAGTACATCTATGGTGATAGAAATCTAGGGAAAACTGATCACTGGATGTTTTGGAATCAGATCAGGGGACTGACTGGGAAGGGGCAAGATAGAACTTTAGAGGTTGATGAAAATACTCCATATATTGATGGGGTGTAGGATACATTGCTGTATGCATTTGTCAAAACTGATCTAACGATACATTTAAGATCTGTGCATTTCATTTTATGTAAATTATTCCTAAACTAAGAAAAACATTTGAATAACAATGAAAAGAAACAAAAAACCCAAATCCAACACCAAAGCAAAATAATGATTCAGGCCATCTTAAATAAAACATCATTTACTTTAATTTGGAAGTATTTCATGCATTTAGTAAGATTTTTAAAAAGTTATATTATACACTGACAAGTCCCAGAGCCAGACTGGGATATACAATCCTCAATCTTTAGCCAATGATGAACCGCTAAAATGATGCCCAAGAAGAAGGCTTTGGTAGTAATTACTGTTCACAAGTATTCTCATTCTCCTTCCCTTAAATTAGCCATCGCTGTGCAACCTGCCATGGTCAATAGACTGTGAGCACAAGTTCCGTGTGTCACTTCTGGAAGGAAGCCTTTAAGACCAACGTGCTATTTGTGATGTTCCCTTTACCTTCCCATGGTGACCAGCTATATTTCACATGGTGGAGGGTCTGTCAGCTTAGGTTCCTGAATGAAAAGGACACAGCACAGAGATCCTCCAACTTGAGACAGGCATGTTAGCAGGAACAATAAATAAAGCTTTGTTGTCTTACATCGCTAAGATCAGGGAGGGGTCTGGTTTGTTAACTGCAGCATAACCTAGACTAATTTGACTGATACAAAGGGTGATCTAGTCACAGATTCAACAAACAATTCCAGACTTTTGGTTTGGGTTACAATGTAACCATTCTTGGCCAATTGTGTAATTTCCCCTATTGCCACTATAACAAATTAACACAAATTTAAGTCACTTAAAACAACATATACTTATTCTCTAAAAGTTCTGGAGGTCAGAATTCTAAAATGGCTTGGCAATGCTGCATTCCCTCTAGAAATTCTGGGGGAGAATCTACTTCTTTACCTTTTCCCATTTCTAGAGCATGCCTATATATTCCCTAGAATCTAGGGCCTAGAATCAGTGATGGCGAACCTATGACACGCGTGTCAGAGGTGACATGCGAACTCATTTTTTTGGTTGATTTTTCTTTGTTAAATGGCATTTAAATATATAAAATAAATATCAAAAATATAAGTCTTTGTTTTACTATGGTTGCAAATATCAAAAAATTTCTATATGTGACACGGCACCAGAGTTAAGTTAGGGTTTTTCAAAATGCTGACACGCCGAGCTCAAAAGGTTCGCCATCACTGACCTAGATCATGGTCCCATCTTCCATCTTCAAAGCCAATAGCACAGCACCTGCCAATTTTTCTCGGCTTCGATTGTCATGTGTCTTTTTCTCATTCTCACTCTCCTTGGTTCCTCTCAGAAGGATCCTTATGATGGCACTGGGCCACCCAGATTATCCAGGGTAAATTCCCCATCAGAAGATCCTTAACTCAAACCCATCTGTGAAGTCCCTTTTACCACTTAACGTAACAAATTCACAAGTTCTGGGGACTAGGACGTGGGCATCTTTGCGGGGAGGGCATTCTTCTACCAACCACATCCACCTTGTCAACCGAGGACAGCCATGCAGAACATGATAAAGGTTCTGTCTCACAACACTGTGTAGACTGGCAAGATAAAATGCCATCATTATTAAAAATAAACTTCTGATATGCCACAGCAATAGGAAGTAAATACTCAAATTCACTGTTTTTTTCGAGTGGAAAAGAAGCACAAAAGAACATGTGTTATACTGAGAATAATAGTGGAATCAAAGAGCCTGTGTGATCTTCAGTTGACTGGAGGCTAGGAGAGTAACAGTCCTATTTTTTTTTTTCATAGATTTTATATGGCAGAGATGGACTAGTTTTGTTTTACAGGACCGAGTCTTTCTTTGTTCCAAACCTACTAATTTTAACCCATATCCATGAGATAGAACCTCAGATACTAGTAACAATTCACTTGTCTCACTAAAATAAATGTGTTTTGTTTTGTTTTTTTGAATACTCATCCGAGGATATTTTCCCATTGATTTTTTTAGGGAGAGGAGAAGAGAGAGGGAAAGATAGAGAGAAATATCAATGTGAGAGAAACACATCGGTTGGTTGCCTCCTGCATGAGCCTTGAGGACCCGGGAGGAGCCTGCAACCGAGGTACATGCCCTTGACAGAATCATATCTGGGACCCCTTGGTCCGCAGGCTGATGCTCTATACACTGAGCCAAACAGGCTAGGGCTAAAATAGATGATTTTTACTTCTGAGTTCCTGCAGTCTGTGCTTAGAGGAGATATGCTTCTACCACAAGAGGGAGTTTGAGTCCATGGATAAAGAGCATGTATAAAAGGAAAGGGGACTATAAAACTTTGCTAGTATAACTTCTAACTTAAGATTAAGGAGCTACGACTTGGAGTTTAAAACTGTGCGCTCTGCTTTTCTTAGCCCAAACATCATGACTGCAATGCAGCACTTCTGGGACATCTTCGCTAGAGAAAAGTAACAGCTGTCTTTTGATGGGAATAATTTCATGGAATCTTCATGGGAAGAAACAAGTGTTTGTTTTTAGCATCTCTTCAGCTGGGATTAACACAATAGGAAACATAAAGGATTTTTAAAGGATGATGTGCTTTCAAATCCCACATTTGTCAGTTTTAGGCAAGTTTCGTCTCTGAGCCCCAATTTCTTCACCTGTAAAAATGGGGATTATACTACTGACATCATGAAGCTGTTATCAGGATTAAATGAGAACAAATGTAAAGCATATAGTGCAATACCTGGCAGCTTCAAGGTACAAAATACTGTTCCATCAGTATTACCGAAATCAGAGAGCTGACTGGGACAATTTGGCTCCCTAAGGAACTTAAAATTCTACCTAAAATGAATCAATGATGTAGAGTTAAAAGATTCCTATGCAATCTGAATCACGCCTCTAATTTTAGTAATGATTTCGCTGCTTTGAGCCTCAACCCAGAGTCCTTGCAGTGTGTAGAGTTTTCTTCCAACTGAACTGAACTACATAAATGTTGGTCTGTGCCACTCATATTTATACATCTATGTTCAGAGCAGTAGCTTCTTCCTGACAATCCACACCTTACACTTCCTCTGTGGAATGCATCCTATTCTCCATGCAGTGGGCAGTTCAAGTTAAGTGTTATAGGCCAGGACCTACCAGTTACCAAGAGGAAACGATGTGGTATAACTCAGGAAAAGTATCTGAGCAGAGGATGACTGCTTTTCTGTCATAGCTAACCTGGTGACAAAAGCAATCGTAACTGGGAAAGCACGGGAGATTAGAGAAATGAACACTCAGTGGTCTCACATACATCTGCAATGCATCCCTGTGTTGTCTAGCTGCAGACTAATACCTATAACCTTACCTGATGTCTAGAAAAAGCCAGGTAAGCTCGCTCTCTAGACATGGATGCCAAAAATGATGTTCCTAATGGGGCTTTGAAGGAGAGGGCAGAAATGCCTAGCCACTCACCCCATTTTCCTGACAACTGGCCACCCTGAGGGATTTACAACTATGGAACAGAATGGGCAAGACCTTGGCAAACTGAGTAGAGAGGCACTGATGAACTACAGAGTTAACGATGCAAAGGTAATACACTGAACTCCATGGTGAACAACTGGTAACACTTCTCTATCCCACAACCTCACAGGTACCCTCACATACATCATTAGCCAAACAACTTCATTTGTAGCTGGAGCTTTGAAATATTTAAAAACCCGTTTCATCACCTAAACACAACCCTATTACCACTCTGGCAAATTTCCTTCCATCTCTGTAGTAACAGTTCTGTGTTATTTCAAACTTTGTGTTCTTTAAAAAATGGTTGCGTAACATCCTAGTATGAAGAGCCATACAAATCTGACTAATCCTCGAGCTCTGAACTTTCAGGTTATTTCCAATTTTTCACTTTTACAGAGAACAACTTGTACATTTAACTTGCTTCTTTCTGAAAGTTTGTATTTAGAACTGCTGCCTTAGGAAGTTTTTCTAAAAGTGGAATTACTCAATCACTGAATGTTTGTAAGGCCTTTGTTTCACTCAACTCTTACTGGTTATCTATGCAGTGCCTGGCACTGTGCTCAGAATGATAACAAAAGAGGCAAACTGTGGTCTTGGTCCCCGTCCTCAAGGAGTTCACAGGCTGAGGGAAAGCATATTGCCAAACACGTCTGTCATAGGGTGGTACCAATTTATATTTCCTAATACATTTCCTAAGGAATAGTCACATTGTACCACATCAACACTGTTAGGATTCAAATAAACCAAACAAAAGGGTGTCTGGAATGACTTCTGGGGGAAATGATGCCGAGTTCAGAAGGTAAAGCAGTATAACAGAGAGAGAGGCAGGGCGGTCCGAGAGACGGAAAGGACCTAGACACTGAGCTAAGGAGTCTAAACTTGATCCTGAAGACACGGAGAGGCACTGTGGGATTTTAAAGGGGACTTAGTAACACAATCGGATTTACATTTTAGAAAGAAATGTCTAGTAGTGGTGTGCAGAAGATACTGGTAAGGTACAAAACAAATTAACCAGTAACTCTATGCGGTCAGAAGTAAAAAAGATCTGAATGGTTTAATACATTTAAAAAAGTGAATTTTTGCCCTAGCCATTGGGCTCAGTGGATACAGCGTCGGCCTGCGGACCGAAAGGTCCTGGGTTTGATTCCAGTCAAGGGCATATGCCTCGGTTGCAGGCTCCTCCCCAGCCCGGGCGCATTGCAGGAGGCAACCAATGGACGTGTTTTTCTCACATCAATATTTCTCTCTGTCTTTTCCTCTCTCTTCCACTCTCTAAAAATCAATGGAAAAATATCCTCAGGTGAGGATTTAAAAAAAAGTGAGTTTTCCATTTCTTTATTTTCTAACTATTATTAATAAGGATTTTAAGAATGCCACGAATTTTTGCCAAACTCATTAAATTTAACCTCTTGAATTCAGATTTCTAGAAGTATTTCATATCACCAAATAAATGTAACTTATCTTATTTTCAAATATTTATACTTCATTTCTTATTGTATTGGTCAGAATAGTATTTTAAAAAAATAATTACCCAAACTGTATGATTTTAGGTTATAAATTGAAAAATGGTCCAAAGGAACAATAGAGATTTTGGAAATGATTTAAGCTCTTTAAGAATTTAATATTCGCCGAAACCGGTTTGGCTCAGTGGATAGAGCGTCGGCCTGCGGACTCAAGGGTCCCAGGTTCGATTCCGGTCAAGGGCATGTACCTGGGTTGCGGGCACATCCCCAGTGGGAGATGTGCAGGAGGCAGCTGGTCGATGTTTCTCTCTCATCCATGTTTCTAACTCTCTATCTCTCTCCCTTCCTCTCTGTAAAAAATCAATAAAATATATTAAAAAAAAAAAGAATTTAATATTACAAACAAAAGCAATATAATACTGGGGAGAGGATTTGCTGTTTAAGACACATTGTCTGGGGTTAGGGTTAGAAATGCTAAGGAAGGAACTCAAACCAATGCTTTGCAAAATACACACACACATATATATATATATATATGATTTAAGAGGATGGGTTAAGAATGAATGTTTTCCAGAAGCTAACCTGGTACTGTTCAACCAACTGCACAAATGTTCTGTCCTTCCTTTAACATAATATGATACATACCAGTAGGCACCTTCATCTTCCAATAAGTGTCGTCATAGGAATGTACACTCTGCTTTACAACTTAGGTTTCTGGAAAGGAAAGCAGCCTGAATTGTCGAATGGGCTTACCGTGAGTGTGGCAAGTGACATGAAGCCGATGAGGTTATTCCACACTTTATCGATGTCCTTAAGCAACTGCTGCAGCTTCTCACTGCACACTGCGGTGGCTTTTATCCCCAGCTCCACACGTTTGGTCACCCTGTACACTTCAACAACACCTGATGGGGTGAGAGCGTAGAGAGTTAGGTGCTGGAAGTGTATCAAGAGCAGTACTGCTTGCTGTTATCTTAGTTGGAAAAAAGGACTATATCTGGACAGAGGTGAATGTACTATCTCTTGGGACCAACCATCTCTCAATGCTTCAGTTTAACTGACTGGTAAGAGCATAAACTCTAGAGCTACTCTGCTTGGATTCAAATCCCAGCTCTGTCACTTACTAGCTGTGTAACCTTGGGCAAGTCACATAACCTTTCTATGCATCAATTTCATCTGTAAAATTGGGTTAATAATAGCACCTCCACAAAGGATGGTTGAAGGGATTAAATTGGTTAATACTATAAAAGGCTTAGAACAGTGTCCGTAGAACAGTACGTATTATGCAAGTATTAACTATTGTTTTTTCTCGATTTTTTAGTCCATCTGTTTGAATTTGGGAAATACCATTAAACTTGCTGAAAATGGGAATATTAAAAGTTTAAAAGACTCTGAATGTCAATATCATTACAAACTAATTAAGAACTACTTTACTCCTATAATGCCCACTGATTTACACTCTGCGGTTTCATGTATCGTTTATACACTTAACAGAATTCAGAACAGTTCTTTTCCTATGGTTTCTGAGTACGGATAATAGGTGCCAAGTATCTCTGCATTCTAAGGAGAGGCACCAGACACATCCACAACCCTTACCCCAGCTTCTACGAGAGAGAACTGGAGGACCCCTGGGGGGTCCTCAGTGGTATGTCATCAGCCCTATGGCTTGTCCTCTTCCTTTCCTATGGGAAGGGCAGGAATTATTGTCTACCCTACGCCAAGTGAGGGGACCTCTAAGACAATCTTTCATAGACACCAGGAAAGTATTCGAAGGAGAGACAGGCAGCCCTGGTGAACATCTGCTTATGCAGAATTGTGCCTGTCTGGGTGGGAAAGAGGAACTAGAGTGAGGGGGCAGGAGCAAAGGAGAAACCACATCCCTTCACTATCCATTCACCCAGCAAATATACTTCAGTGACTACTATGTGCCAGGCACTAATCTAGCTGTTGGAGAAACAGCAGTGAACGAAACAGGCCAAAATCCTTCCCTACTTGGAGGTTCCTTCTAGTGGAGGGAGACAGATAATAAACAAGAACGGTAAGTAAAATACACAAGATGTTAAAGGTGATAAGGCTAGGGAGAAAATCAAGCAGGGAAAGGGACAGGAAGTGCCAGGGTGGACAGAGGGGATACAGTTGAGTAAGGGGGGCCAGGGAAGACCTCAGTTAGAAGGTGACACGTGAGTGAAGATCTGAAAAAGATTAGGGTCCAGTGCCTGTAGCTCTTGGCCACAGGCTAAGCCTGAGATTGGGGCGGGAGGAACACTGAATAAACAGAGATTGAGGTTTCAGGTTGGACTGGGATTTTTAATAGCTGAAGGTGGCCAGGAAGTTAAGGAATCGGTGATACTATTAAGGGGTAGAGAAACGAAATGACAGAGCAAAGACAGGCATTGACTGGAGACCCAATGATTTCATTCTAATGCATCACCTTGTTCAGATTCCTTGATAAACCAGTAACACAGATATAATTTTACATTGTTGCTATTATAACAAGGACTGGCAAGCGTGGCCATAGAGATCTTAAGTCAAATAGTCAAATAATCATGTCTGCCAATGACATATCTTATCTACAAATGCAGATGCTACTTAATAAAGCCATATGTAACTTGAGAGACCTAAATTAAACTACTTAACATAAGGGAAAACTGAAAATATTTCAAAGTGTCATGATTTTTGAATAAGTAAAGTATAAAAGAACATACCTAATAAATATTCCATGCCTTGAGCTGACTGAATTACTTCTGTGCACACAGAACTACTACTGATTCCATTTAAGGTATCATTTGCTTTCTTAATGACCTACAAGAAATGAAATCACATCACCTTACATAATCAAGAAAAGTCATTGCAAATCAAATTACTATTAGTAGAAAACCCAAGCCAAGAGGTGTGAAAAAGCATGACTAACTGATGTATGTACGTAACTATGCTAAAACAAACCTGAGAATTTAATTTTAACCTTGGAGAAACAACCCTCCATTTCTTTGGAAGTGGAAAGATAGAGGTTCTTTAGCTAAAATATTAATTTAGGCAGAGTTAATGATATCAGTTGTTATTTCTTAAACACAGTGACAGCTGAGGGCACAACTGACAAATGAGCCAGTGTACGCTATTACAAATGTAAAAGAAGCCTCACTTAAGATGTATGACTTTTTCCCGGCCAATGTGGCTCAGTGATTGAGCATCAATCTATGAGCCAGGAGGTCATGGTTCGATTCCCAGTCAGGACACATGCCCAGGTTGTGGACTCGATCCCCGGGAGGGGGGGTGCAGGAGGCAGCTGATTGATGATTCTCTCTCATCCCTGATGTTTCTCTCTCTCTCTCTCTCTCTCTCTCTCTCTCTCCTCTATCTGGAATCAATAAAAATATGTATTTAAAAAAAAAGATGTATGACTTTCCACAGAGCTTCACTTTGCACAAGGCAATCAAGGTAGGGCTCTCTTTAATTTTGCCTTTGTCCATTCAAAAGAACTAAAGAGGAAGCAAAATGATACAAGGCAGAGCTTACATATAGGTGAACACCACAAAAGTGATATACTCACTTCTAGGGCACTCCCCAGGCACCTCTGCCATTCATATGCATATCTCTCATTCTCCTGTGAATTTCATAAAAAGAACTGAGTTAAAAGGGCAAGTCTGGAATCCTCTATTTATAACTGTCAATCCAGAAGGCACTGGAAGATTTTCCTTTTTTATTAAAATCACTCTAGTTCAAGTACAGTTTCTCTTACGAACCCACTAGTGACTATTTTAAATTATTAATAAATGTAACTTCAAAGCACATGTCTTATGGATCTGAGGACAATGTTTTGTGACTGCTCCCCTCTGCAAATGTCGCCTCATTTTTCTAGTGATAGCATAAACTTCTTCACCGGTACTCACCACACAGGTGTCTAGTACAAGAGCCCATGTCAAATCACTGGCTTTCCACAGTTACAATTCTGTGTGAGTGTGAGTGTGTGTGTACATGCATATATGCATGTCTATGACGACAGGAGTGGGGGGAGAATGGTTAAGGGTTGGCTGTACAAGGAAGACAGTATGGGATGAAGGTACAGGAAACATAGAAGATTCATAACATTTTCCTCTTCTACAATATTGATGTTTTAACATTCACTAAAATGATAAAATCTAAGTGTTCAAAAGAATTTCCTTAAACGTGACCCCCTTGTGCAGTTTCATGAATAATTTTGGTTTTCAGGTCACTACCTACTTTCAGTGCCTGCCATATCGGGGAGGTATTTTCATCCAGGGCTAATGTCACCATTCTCTCACTTTAGTTGCATATTGTATGTCTGGTGCCTTGCGTCTCTCTGCCCCTCGTGTCACATCAGAAAGCTGCAAGCCTTTTTTCTCCAGGCCCTCCGTGCTCAGCTGGTCCTTTACCTGACCCCCGTGGAACACTACCCCGCTCACCTCCACCTCTCCTGTCAGATCTTTGTACTTGTCACGGATGACAGGCAGAGCGGGCTTCTCACTCAGAGTGTTGGAACGGTCTCTGAAAGGCTGCTCCAAAGCCGGAGAAGGAGAAGAATGGCTTATTTCTTTATCACCAAGGCTCAGACTCCTCTTGTGTGATCCTGGGAGTAGATGGCACAGTTAAAGGTTTTGATTGCTCAGCTTAGTGCAAGCCGAGGCTCTTGCTAACGTGACCTCTTCTGCAGATGTTTATGTCATGAGACATTCAGAAATACCAACCTCATTCATTCTGTCTGGCAAGCTACATGTTGAATCCTTTTCATTGTTCTCTCTTGCTTAGTTTCCCTGCCTTTAATTTTCTCCACTACTCTTCCCTGATCTATCATAATTCTTGCATAATTCTAAGTGCAGAATCATTGGAGTTTGGAGGCCTAAAGTATCTTTCTAAATATCAGTGCGTCAGAGTTGTGCTGCTTTTCCAGTCCTTAGTTATGGATTTGCACCAATCTCCTACATACTTTCTCAATCTAATGGAAATCAATGATCCCTTCTGCCAAGGTGGGCTCACAGCAGAAAGGGCAAGCTCAAATGTCTTCAAAAAGCAGGCAAGTAAATGACTAAGTCAGCTGCAGATCAGAAGTGCTGGGGACTGTGACACTGGAGAGAGCACACCCCATCAATTAAAGGGCTTAGTATTGCCAGATATTACTTTTTAAGAAAAGCTAGAAATCCAGATTGGGAAATCTCATGATTTTTACATATTGGTAACTGCTTCTCACATTTAAGAAACCTTGTTTGTGAGTCAATAAAACAGATCTGCAGACTGGATCCAGATCTACAGCTACCACATTGCAGCCTCTGGATTAAAAGCTACAGGATATAGCCAGGGAACAAGAGCAGAGCTAACTTCCCCACAAGTGGATCAAATCCATTTCTCTGGTACTTTTAACCCAGTACACCTCTAAGCAAACAAGCTAATGAACAACAACAGGCTGTGTGGTTAGCCCAAAAAGCAGTTATCTGAGGAATACTGGTTTGACTTCAGTTCAGTCTCAGGGAAACTTTTTCTTTTCTTTTTTTTTTTTTATAGCTATCTGTAATAGACTGAATTCAAACACTGGAAAATCTATATCCTGCTAAACCAAGGACCAACTTTTTATCCTAAGAACATGTAACACCTTAGTGGAAAAAAACAAACAAACACCACAATAAAAATCTATGTTGAAAGCTACTCACCTTGAACAGAAAGGTCAAAGGTTGCCAGTTCACTTTTGATCATTTCTTCACTGGATTTCATTTTGCTTTGTGAATTGGCCACTAAGAAGTCAAATTTGCTGATTTTGGGCTTTTCACTTTGAAACTCTCCAAAGTCATCTGAACATTCTTTGGGAGTGTCGTGAGAAGTGCCACTGGAAGTAGGGCTTGGACATGGGGCCTCTTGGCTCCATTCAGCTGCAGGTAGGTCCTGTCTGGTGAAATCTTTATAGTCCCTGCTTTCATATTCCTTTGGCTCACTGGTCTGAGGAATCACATCTTTAAAATTGGCAAAAGCCGGGAAGGGAGTCTCTGGAAGAGCATCTTCACTTCCGAAGGTCGTGACTTTGGACAGAGATGTCATGGTGATGTTTTCGGAACTGCCAAATGAAGTCTCTTTCTTTTGTAGAACTGAGGCAGCTGAGGAGGATCTGCTTCCTGCTGAGAGGACAAATGGAGAGAGTTTTCTGCCCTGAGATGCATCATCCCTGTCTGACCAGTCATAGCTCGTAAGTGTGCTCACTGCAAAATTGCTACTGTAGGTTCCAAAAGCAGCATATTTTAAGTCCTCTATATCTGAAAGGGAAATAAGACCCCACAATTAGAGGCAAGCTCACGATTTAGGCAAAATGCCCTAAACTCTGCAGAAGCAAAATGTCTAGCATATCTGATTAGTTTTATGCTATACTGGAGTTAACTAAATTTAGAGTTTGTACTAAAATTAAAGGAGTTGAGCTGTAAAATCTGATCTTTAAAAACCCACGTTAGCCTTGACTCGTCATTTATATTTAGTTACAAGGAGAAGTTTTCTTTGGATATAAAAACTACTAAAAAAAAGATAGGTTCATCTACCAATGTATATACTATTTCATATGAGAATAGGGCTATTTCATAAATAGTTCGTTTATAAACTTTAAAATGTATTTACAATATTCCCTGCTTAAAGCATGCCTCTTTTGCCTTGACTTCGTTGAAAAAACGTTCCTTTAAAACATGGACATATGAAATGTACATGACAAACTAAAAATTGACAATTTCTCAAAACTAGAATGAAAATAATGTTACTTAACTTTTAATCAATTATTAGGAGTTTCTGTCTCAAGCCAGGCCAAATATGAGATTTCAATTAAGCAGTTACTTACCTAGTTATTTTGGTCAACATGGGCGTCATATTGCTGTGATGGCGTATGAGGAAAGAAAAATCAACCTAATCTACATTAGTCCCTAAAAAACAGAGGCAAAGGTCTGGGTCCTGTTGTGCTCCTGTTTCTCCTTCAACTATGTTCAGCCCCTCATAAAAAAAATAAGAAGAAGAATAAAAGAAAAAGAAAGAAAGAAATGCTGGGGCAAAAGACTTATTTTAGATTCGTAGTACATGTTTTAGTAATTTAAGTGGTAGCATAAAACAGCAAAGAGAATGTAGAGGTTTTTAATTTAGACAGACCTGGGTTCAACTTCCAGCCCTGCCACCTATGACTTATGTGACACTAGGCAAGCTATTTCACATTTTTTAACCTTGGTTTGTTATCTGTAAGATGAAAATACCATGGACATTGGAAGAGATGTGTTGTGACAATTAACGATAATGTGTGTAAAGGAGCCAGGGCCTGGTAAGCAATACAAAATAGCAGTATTTGTACAGCATAGTGGCCACCAGCCTCAATTTGACATTTAGTTGCTACTTTAGGGCCTAAAATGAAGTTATTTCAAAGTAAAAATGAAATGTCTACTCATCATTTTAGTGGTCTTACTAGGGAAACTTTCTTGTCCATATTCAAAAATCAAAACCAGCCAAGGCTGAATAACACGTACACAACAGCATGTGGAGAAGCTAGCGACCTTTCAGCAGCACAGTCCAGTCTGGCTAACATGTTTAGTTTCATTTTAGTCACTATCTACAAGGCCAGAAGGCCACACACAACACTCCTCTCTGACAACCCAAACATGGTTTACAAAGAAAATGCTCAAGCCCTGGCCGGTTTTGCTCAGTGGATAGAGCATCAGCCTGCGGACCAAAGGGTCCTGGATTCAATTCCGATCAAGGGCATGTATCTTGGTTGCAGGCTCCTCCCTAGCCTGGACCCTGGTCAGGGCACGTGCAGGAGGCAACCAATCAATGTGTTTCCCTCACATAGATATTTCTCTCTGTCTCTCCCTCTCTCTTCCACTCTCTCTAAAAATCAGTGGAAAAAAATATCCTTGAGTGAGGATTAAAAAAAAAAAATTAAAAGAAAATGCTCAAAAGTTTTGTGACTCAGATTTTCATAACTAAGTCAGGAGGTGAACCCAAACTGGGTTATTTTGTCTTTGTTTCCCAGCAACCCTGCACAGTTTGAGTTAAGGGACTCCTGACATTTCCATAGCTCTTCTAACAGTATACCCCACATCTGTCTCTTTAAACTGTATTAGGAAAGGGTACTAAATTAAAAACAAAAATGAAACACCCTAGGTGTATAAAAAGGCCAACCAGTAAAAAGCATATAACATTCCCAAAACAACAGTGTATTTTAAAATTCTGTATGTACGTGGTATTTTTCAAATTTGGCTTATTAAACAGGAGAAAAAAAGATTCAGGTGAATGAATGGAAGAGACTTTAGACAAAATGCTTTCTTATTTCTTAGTCTCTGGCTGAGTAGTGTTCCGTTTTCCCCACTAAGGGACTAGAACAGTGGTTCTCAACCTTGGCTGCACATTAGAATCACCTGGGAATCTTTTTAAAATCCTGATTTCTGGGCCTCATCCTCCGGAAATTCTGTTTCTTTGTTACTAATGTTGTGGCCCCACCCCATAACAAAGAAACAGAATTTCCGGAGGATGAGGCCCAGAAATCAGGATTTTAAAAAGATTCCCAGGTGATTCTAATGTGTAGCCAAGGTTGAGAACCACTGGACTAGAAGGTACCCTGATTCAAACAAGGTGAAATTCAATCAGGAGGCAGATGAAGTTAACACAAGACTTGTCTTCCAGGGGTACATTCAGAAGAATGTTTCACAATACAGATATTTTTATTATTAGACCCTACCAGAAAGCTCTTTGGGGAAGCTATATTATGAAGTGCTCCTAGAATCTCATCTATTAAAAGAGTAGCAATTTTTCTAGAGACCAAAGATAAATTTAGTGAAAAGTTAAGCTCTAGTTCAAACATCACAATCAAGTTTCCAAGGCAATAAAAATACCCTTTTGTGCAATTATGCAACAAGGTGTTTGTTTTTTAAAACAGAAATGATTGTAGTATAATCATGTAAAAGGAATTACGAGAACAGGGATTACTTTAGCTGAAAAAAAGTATTTTTAAAATACTACCAGTCTTTAACAAATCTTATATTTTATACTTAAAAAAAAAAAGAGAGTAAATATACAGGATATACTAAAATCAAGCCTTGAGGTTGATTTTTAAATTTTCTTTTGCCTATAGTATAAAAAAATCATTTACTGAAGTGCAATTCATTTGCACACTGTATAAGGAAGTACTAAAACTGATATTTCATAGGAATGTGAAAACACTGTATTCCTAAACCTTAGCATTTATAAACAACATAAAAACAACATAATGAATATTAGTAATTTTCTAAGAAAATAGGTAAATCAGGAAAATTCCTTATTTCCCATGTTAATAGTTCTACACTTTCTAAGCAGTAAAATTCTATTTGTATGATGGCCTTAAAAATATTAAAGATTCTTTAAGACCTAGAACATAAGTGATGGAAGCTCTATTTGGAAAAATAATATGAAATAACCCACAGTTTAATTTGTAATCACCAAAGTTGCTACAGATGGGTTTTCAATTTGATAGCTGAATTCTACTAGTAAACATTGCAAGAGAAAAAGAAAACAGAATGGATGCAATAAAATGTACAGAGAATCATTACTACATTTCCAATTCTACTGAAGAACTCTGACGCTGTGCTAGGTTGAACTGCAATTGCACACAGATAATAGGCCAAATTGTGTGCTTTAATACATGTAATTGTTTGCAACCAGGAATGTCCTATTACAAAGGCCAAAGGAATAAACTATACAATCTGCCTTTCATCCTGTATCTCAAATCATGACATGGATTTCTTGCTTATGCTAGTAAGTAACCCTATCAGTCTTCTATAACCTCCATTGAAATCCCTTCTAAACCAATGTTACACATGAAAACAAGGCATTTCTTGGAACAAAGAATGTGAGCTGCCACTACAGGACACAGACAGAAGGCCATACCAATTCCCATTTTCTAAGGCTGTAAGCATACCCCCAGGTGATTAATAAGAGTTACTGGCTTTTGAGAAAGGGGTTTGGAAAAGAAGAAAGGAGATACATGTGTGAATTCTACCATTCCCTAGTATTTTATATAGCAATAAAAATATTCAATGGACTCAGGAAGTCCTTTGAAAAACTCAAATATCTTTTAATTTCCAGTACTGATTTAATGCAAATTTCATTTACCAAAGCAAACCATGAAACATTTATACATTTCAACTTCTTCCCACCCTGGCCCTTTTCTCTCCTGAGATCAGTCATATTCACATTCTCTATTAATTCTAAAACCTGGTCTGACTATATCCTATTAAGTCTCAAACACCCTGATAGGTGTTGTTGAGGAAAACAGGAAAAGCTGCTGTGTAATTGCCTTCCAGTGTTTTCTAATCGGCACAGAAACCTCCCATTCTTTTGTACTGACTCACGGGCCAGCATTTTCCTTCCAAAACAACTCATCAAAAGTATTCAACTGATGGAAAAACAAAGCTACAAGCAGCTCTTTAAAAATAATTTGATTCTTTGAGTTATTTTAAGATTTAGCCCAGCTTCTTTGATATTGCCAGTGTCTTCTACATGTTCATTTGCTACTTTTAAAAATCAGCAGCGATTTTAATGTGAACAATAGAGTGACTGTAGAATATAAATACATTTGTATAATTTCTCAGGCACTGATGTATGAAGTCAAGCACTAACCACGTCTTACTTAACTTGGTATTGGAATAAACAAAACGATTTTTTGTTTGCCTGTTTAAATCTGTAGCACAGAGTTCTTTAACTCTTTATTGCAAGTTCATATTACATTATTAAAACTTCTCCCTGTAAGTAAATGTTACTCTGAACACATTGTTTAATTTGTGAATGCGACTGTTTTACACACAATTATATTCAGTCATTTTCTCCAGCCTGCTTAGATAAATGCAGAAAGGATTTAAAATAAAAGTCTCAGGTGGACCAATCTAGCATTAGATAATTCCATTGACAAAGGAATATCTTAGCCAAAGCTACCACAAGACTGGTCTTATATATGGCGCCAGGAAACCCTAAAGGGCACCTGGTATTATCACTCTAGATCAGTGGTTCTAAACCTTCTGGCCCTTTAAATACAGTTCCTCATGTTGTGACCCAACCATAAAATTATTTTCATTGCTATTTCATAACTGTAATGTTGCTACTGTTATGAATCATAATGTAAATATCTGATATGCAGGATGGTCTTAGGCGACGTTTGACCGCCAAAGGGGTCGCGACCCACAGGTTGAGAACCACTGGTCTAAAGCATTATGCCCTGGAATACACAATATTTTAAATGGCAAACCCAGCTTATCTTAGA